ATATATATGTATATATACACATAAATTTGCACGTGCAGGCAACTGGACTCTCAAGTCTTAGGGTTCGCGGAGTAAACGAATAAGTAGCCTTTCTTGGTGAACCCATGCTCTGGTCCTGTTCAGCTGGGAAGTCTGCCACACCCATGCTCCCTTAAAGATGCATCGAATACTATAGATGAATAAGTCCCGCTCCTCCAGGCACTCCTNNCTCCTCCAGCCGCTTTGCCTTGCGAAAGCCACCCGGGCTGCAGCGGCCTTCCCGAAACCGTCAAATTAATTCCGGACCAAGGTGGACCTCGTAGCTGAAACCCGTCAGCAGGTTTGAGTCTACGCAACTGTCTGTCTGTCTGTGTGTGGGAGGGAGAGAGAGAGAGAGAGAATGAGAATGCACCTGCGCATCCATATGCCCCGGACGGTTTGCACGCATCGGGCCGGATGCAGGGGGATCCCGCTGCTGAAGCTGTACGGATGTTTCACCAGCCCAAAGCCTACCGGATGCTTCCAGGATCAAGGATTCCAAGATCGCTGGAAAGGGTGTTGCTGGGGAATCCTCGGATGTGCGAACCTGGCCAGTGCAACCGATTTTGGGGCAACTTGCTATGCCATGCCTGTATTAGAGAAACCTAAGGAATACTATTGCTACTTGTTCAGGCCCCTACTTTATTTTCGGCTGTCTCCACCAAGTTGTAGAATCTGTAGAAATCGACCCCATCCTCTGCAATTCCCCCCGTCCCAGTGCGCCTCCGGTCCACCAGGAAGGCTTGGGTCCGCGATGGGCACGTTCAGCAGACATCTCTCCTTCGCAATGTATCACGAAATCCGCAGGTATGCCGAAAACGACCGCAACATGTGTAATTAGAGCTGTAGGCCATGTCGCATGCACTCTCGACCTGTGCAGGGACTGTGTCGCCTCAAACATGGATAAAAAATATCACGGCTCTACAGAGTGGCAAAAGGATATCTGAAACACAACTCTGCGTGCAGCAGTGACACGTTCGGGTGTGGGATGGCAGGCGGAAACTGGACGAAGCCATACCGAGCGAATAGCTGTGCGCTGGAGCACCTCAAGTGCCACTCTGCTCAGCTCAGTTTTGAGAGTCTCGGTGACTCATACTCGGATATTCCAGACAAGGCATGTTCATGACGGTCTGTTTTTTTGAGGAGCAAGGAACCCCGAGGCTCAGCTCCTTGAGGGGCCTGACATTCCCAAGCCTCCAAGATTTCAGTCCCAAAATCCCTTTATGCCCTTTCAAGCACGAAAACAAGCCACTCAACAAATCTTACAGCCCCCTTTACCATGCAACACCCTCGTCGCGGAACGCTCCTCAACCAGAATCGCTGCGGAGTTACTTGTTCTTTCTAAGATCTTTCTGGGGCTTCGAGCGGCTACTACACGAGCTTCATTCTTGCACACACGGTTTCACAAGGCTGAAGAACAACCAGCTACAACTGTTCATCCCAAACTCCGCTAATAATATGACTTCGAAGCCTCTTGCCGAACCCTAAATCCACCAGTACAACTTGCAACCATAAACTCCAGTCCTGACTTATAACCTGAGACCCAAAAAGCTCCCCGTAGCTACATAATCATCAATGACTATCCCTGGGAATAGAATTATACTCGCAGACAACGAGCAACTGGAGACAAACATAAATCCTATTACCCCAAATATGTCAACAAACAAACTAAACCCCTCAACCCTCTCGTAGCTTAGTGCCCGGCTCCTCGTAAATGAAGAGCAGCTCGTCCCCGGCCTCAGAAAGAGACCCGCGGATGGCTTGGAAGGCTTTCGGACGCGGATGGTTTTCAAGGCTTTCGGGTGGTACATAAGCGGAGTGTAGGTGGGGCTTGAGTGAAGGTTTGCTAGGGAGGTTTAGCAGGGCAGCACTGTTGGAGAAATATCTTTGGTCGGGCGTAAGGCGGGGCTTATAAGGGGGGTTTTCGAGGGTTGAGGGCTTTATGGGCTTGCGGAAATCATCTGAATCAGGACGAAGGGCTCTTCTTTGCAGGGTTAAGGTTTTGAGGTTTTATCGATGGCTTCAACATTTCTGTGCTGAGGTTCTCGTTTTGGCCACTTTCTCTCAGCCCTTAACATCACTTAAACTTAATCGTCACAACTTAATGTGAGGACTCATGCTGATGATGATCAATACTTCTCAAAGAAGGCAGCTTAGACTTTCTGGCGGCGCCACGCAGCATCCTGGCTTTACTGATACGGCCGTGTTGGCAGTGTTAGCAGTGTGCTTCAATACCTGCGTTGACGAAATAGGTGCAGGAATTTCAGCTTTGGGTGGGAGGTAATTAGGCAGAGGATTCTTTACAGTACATGCCCTGGTCCTGTCGCAGGGTGGCCTCCAGCGGTCGCGCTGCAGCCACCTGGACATGGCCTGAAGCCACGTCGTCCACCAGCTTACAGCGGGGGGCAGCGCCCTCGCTGGGCTCCTGCATCCGCCGGCGTGCCGCTGGGTGCGATCAGAGGGAGGTATATAACAAAATGGTGAAGTTCCCGTTCTCGCTTGTGTCCGAATATTGTAGGACTTCAAGACCATTGCATGCCTGCCTGGAATCATGACTGTCGACATGACTTGCGCTACAGGGCCAGTTTTATGTTCCTTATCCGAAATATACAGCCCGAATCCTTAACAGCCCCACCTGGTGGTTCAGGAAGTCAATGATGGGGCAAAGGCCCAGCCGCCAAGGAGGAGATTCCTAAGGAGCGTGCTTGTGGCGAACAAACATCCCGTGAAGGGCGGAGCGCGGGCAAACCGAAGGTCCAATCCGAAACTGGCAGCTGTGCGAGAAGTATTAGTAGAACCCAAACTCTAGGTACCGTCTCTGCGGCGGGCTTCCGCCGCTGAGCTGTTCATGTTCACCCATTTCAGTTGCACGCAACCTAGACCCAAAAAATAAAGGTAAACACCTCCAGGGCTTGAGGGTGTGGCCGTGTGCTGCCACACAGATGCTACTAGCAGCAAGGATAACACAAGGCTACACTAATGACCTGGCTTCGTTTGAAGTATCCCACGGAATTGTTACAAGAAGGATCCTGCGAGGGAGTCCCCGTTCTAGACATCCGGTCCGAGTAGCTACCACGTGTGCCTTTAGGCCCACCACAGAGAAGTAACATCTCCGACCCTAAGACGGCCCTGAGACTAAGCGGACAAAAAGGGTCTGGGGAAGTCGGCCCAAGAGAGATGAACAAGCTGATCTCATTCCGAGAGTCTGGGCCCTCGTCGGTTAAAGTCACAGCGCGGGACTCAACGAGGGCCAGTGCCCAAAGAGCCTCGTTGGGACTCGTTGGGGGTTTAAGGTTCTTTCAAGGTCGCCTTGTTCAAAGCACAACCGCGTAGTTGTGCACACACCAGCAAACACCTTCCAGCACATATCCTCTTGGGTTTCCTAGTCCGCGCACGAAGGAATGTGTAGAGTCGTCTGTCCACCCGCTTAGCTGACTATAAAGTTTAAAAGCTGTGTCAGAAGTCAGCATGGCATCCGGGATTGTCGATGTTTACATACTAGTTGCTAGGCTCGTGTTCAGTTATTTCATTCAATGGCCCCTGCCAAAGTACAACACCACAGAAACGAATTGCATCCGAGATAAACGAACTTCCACGCAGCGGTACCCGCTCTTGACTTCAAGTACAGCTAAAGAAACCTGCTTGCATGCAAAACCTACAGCTAGCTCTACTCGACGGTGCCACCATGCCTCTTTGAAACTCAGGTTTGCAGGGAGCTCTCACAAAAGTCGTCGAGGGCGCAACCAAATGGCCCGAAACTCAACCGCCGACATGGGCATACAAACATACCACATTCAATCGTAGTACATGACTATAGCATCATAGTATCATTGCCTATCGAATATCACCCTAGCTACTCAAGAAGAAAGACCGCATTCATCGACGCCCAAGACCCCTCGCCCAGGCCGAAAAAGCTGAACACATGCCCAACCTCAGACCCTGAGTTCTGGAAGCCTGCACCCCCTGTGTGAAACTGAGCAGGACTTCGGCGTTCACACTCTTACTGGGCTTTAGGGTTGAGGGCTTCCTTGCAGAACTGGTTCACCCCCTAAAGCTCTGCAAGGAGCCTCCTCGCGAGACGTGGCCGCACCATGCTCAACCAACTCTGCTGCTTCCAGGCTCGCACGCAGCTGCATGTGGTCTGAGCACCAGGGGCAAGTTTCAGAAACGGCTGTGATATGGAATATCCAGGATGCACGTGTCCGTCTCTTATATGTGCACGCGGTGTATGTGCTTATGTATGCACGCATCTCTCTCTCTCTCTCTTTCTCTTTCTCTTTCTCTTTCTCCCTCTCATGTATACACACACACACATACACACACGTACATACATAAATAAATAAAAATACAAATGCAAATATGAATGTAAATAAATAAATAAGTATATATATATATGTGTGTGTGTGTGTATATACATATATATATACATATATATATATATATGTACACACATATACATACATACATGTCTGCCACATCTAAGTACAAAAATATGTGCATGTGTGTGGAAAATTACATGTGCTTGTTTACGTGCACGTATGTGTGTGAGTTTGAAAAATACATAAATATGTACATATACACAGATCCGTACGACTATGAGAAAGAAGAAGAATTAATCTACATACGAAAATATTTACATATGTGCGTGCGGACATGTAAGTTAAAATCTATGAGAAACCTTCTATAGGCATACACCTACATCTATGATTACTGAGTCATCTACAAGTACTGTTTTGCTCTCACTCTGTCGTCTTTCATGGTCTGCACACGGAGACGAACATGTCCCACGTCGGTTGCAGTCGTGTCAGTACCCGACGCAACCTGTCATTTGCGAGCATAATACATCCTGCGAGTTATGCACCCTCAAACCTAGACCTACACCCAATAGAGCACCCCGTAAAGACGAGAAGTCAAAGCCCTGAGCTCAAAATACCGAAACCCTGCTCAGGAGGCCCTGGGCGACCGGGCAGACCATCCGGCAGGAGTGAGGGCATGAGGCCAAGATCTTGCGCAAGGAGAGGCCGGGAGGCCAAAATATCCTCAGCTACCGTCTTCGTTTGCCCTTCTAGGTGAGGAATAGTACAGGCTTTCCATGGCATAGCATCTTGGAGAACCACTGGTCACCATCGCCACCATCATCATCATCATGTTCATCATCATGATGATCATCATCATATCATCACCCATCATTATAACCATCAACATAATCATCATAACATGATGTGCGGTTAGCATCAGTGCACGAAGTGCGGAAGCCTTTTGCCCTGCTACATTGCAGTTCTGCTACCAGAGTTTTTTAGCACTCGCACACGACGCTCAGTTTTCTCTGTGAAAATTGTGTTGCAATGACACATGGCACGAGTACAGGCTCCGCTCAGCATTTGCCATGTGATTCGTAGGGCATCTTGCGCTGTGGGCACGAACCCTCCACCTGGTTGTAGCCGTATTTGCGGGCCTTCTCCTAGCAGTTGGTCCACTCCTCTGGGATGCTGATCGAATGATCGCCACACGTGGCCATGAAGGTTCTAAACCTGATAAGGATAAAGCCTGCCTTTTCGGAGCACCCCACAGGGATCGCAAATTTTCAGACACCCCCAGACTCTCTGTTGGAGAAGCGGCGGGTGGGCAGCCAGATCCCTTGCCGACGGCAGGGTGGCAAGGAGCGGTGCAAAGGGAGAGGACGGGCAGCGCTTTCTCTCCTCCGAAGCTCGTGTCGTAAAAGCACGAAAGGCTTCTTGAAGAGTCTTCAGATTGTTTTGACCGGTCTGATTCGGGCTTTGGATGGTCTTCGAGTCTTAGATGGAGGATCTCTTTAGGGGGGCCTCCAAAAGTCTTCAATATCAAGCAACTGTACAAGGTGAATGGAAAGCAGGAGCAACACGGAAGACCAGAAGCCACCGCAAGGAAACCACTAACAGTCGCCTTGTCCAGCACCTATACGGGAACTTAAGGTTAACCTTTGGGATGATTCGGGAATATAGTGCCCCAAAACTTACCTTTGGTTAGTAGGGAATGGAGGAATGGGAACTATTATAAGTACCATTACTACCATTCTTCCATTCCCTACTAACCAAAGGTAGGAAAAAGGTTAAAAGGTTACCTACACTGCTACGAAGTGAGAGGTCTGAGAGCCCAATCTCACCAAGACCGCCCTTCTGGGGCGGATCCGGCACAAAAGCCACAACCTTCGGTCTCAACAGAACTGTCCAACTGCTCTCTCGGAATGGGGTCGCATGAGGCTTTAAGGTTTACGGGCTTGTCTTGGCTTGGCAGGGGGCCAGGTTGCCGCGAATCAGGAAGATAATCTCAGAGAACGCGTGGCGCAAAGCCTGAAATCGCCAACACCCCAACCTCTGAAAACGAAACATCCGCCCTGCCAAATCCATCTGAAAGGCACTGTAAAACTCTGACAAGTCTTGAACCCCCTACAACCCACAAAGGCAGCCTGGGAGCGCTATTCAGACCTCAAACAAACGCTTCAGAACCGAAGAACAATTGTCGTGCAAGGCTCCGCCAACAAAGCTGCAGCCAAAGCCATCCTGTCCTCATCAATCGGGATTAGGTAAGGGAGCGTGCTACAGACTCAATCTTCTCGGATCCGTGAAGCAAGGACCTCAAATAAAGGATCTCCAGGATTGACCTGCGCTCAATCTCTCCGAATTAATTGGACCTCCCCTGTCCATTCAACTAACTCACGAGACCGGCCCGCGGCAAGGACAAGAAGGAAACGCTCCGAAAGACCAAGGGTATAGTTGATTCGGGATACTCACACTCGGACAGGCCAGGCAATGTTTCACACGACAGTCTCAAAAGCTCTCAGTTTGTATCCTTGTATGCTTCATGCTCAGGTACCCTAATGAAGTAGCCTGACACTTTAAACCAGCGGTTCAGGCTCCTGTCGCAAGGCTTTTTTCTTTCGGGGCGGTGAACTGCAAGAAGGCTCGGAGCTTCTGCGCTGACGCGGGAAACTCATCCCGAACACTGCTCAAAGCGCTTCTACTTTAGGAGCCTGATGGGGGACCTTACGCATCAGAACCATGTTGGAGGGCGGGAGCCCGACGGAGTACGATCACTCATGTTTCAGGCTGATAGTAAACCCACACCTGCGGGCACTGAGCTATATCCGGATGTCGTTGGAACAGCAGGGCTCTTTCTGACAAGGTAGCTTCGCTCTCCCCCCTACCCGCCGCCCCAGAGTGGAGACACGAACAAGTCCTCGGCAACGATGCAGCAAGCCTTGGTACAGGGGTTCGCATGTCTTGGCCTTGGCCGCGCTCTGCGTGAAAGCATGCAGAGTTGCGAAAAACTCCGCATTGTCGTTCCAGTTACCTCCAGTGCCAAATTAACTGACCTGTAGTTGGCTGCACGCGCCCTCCATGTCAGAAGAAGCTGAACAGTGACAGCGACCCCTTCCCAAGAACCCTGAGTCTCTATTCGGACAAGTCAATAGCTATACAAAGGCAGCAGCACCTTCTGGAGCTGCAGCTAGGCTGGGGCCCCTCGAAACATATGGCACACACACTATGCCCACGAGGCCGTCCATGAGTCGAGACCAACCGTGAATCCCCTCCTTCCTCGAACCGTGTCGAAACGTTTGAAACCACAAAGGCGAACACTCAAAGGAGGCCCTGCCACCACACTGAGATCAAACCACATGCAGCTGGAAACCTCCACCCGAAATCCGTAATGTAGGGGCCTTAATAATTGATTAGAAGAGGGTGTTGGGGTCCATTATACTATTACTGTAACATGGAACCAACCCCCCAAGTGATAATTCTTTAGGCCCCTACGTTAGACACAGATATGCTGCCAGGCTTCTCGGGGGATGGACAGGATTCTACTGCCAGGCTCTGCTCCTGCTGCCGTGAACACCTTGGCGGAAAACAAAGGGTGTCCACCGAAATTCCAAGAAACTGAGATGTGGGGATTATGCATCTGCTACCGGAGTTTGTGTAACGGAACATAGCTTCATAGCTATCTATCTATATATATATATATAGTTATAGATATACATACATACATACATACATACATACATACATACATATATATATATACATATATTTCTTGATCCGCCTGCCTTGCTTATTGAACCAAGCCTCTGGGACGACGATACGGGAATCGTAGTACCAATCAGTTACTATACGAGCCCTGAAAATACAACCAAGCGACGCCATGCCCGGCTCCTTCCATGGGGCTGTTTCCAAGCGCGATGTTTTCCAGGCCCTGGGCACCATTCTCCTCAGCGGGTTTAGGGTTTAGGGCCCGGAGTTGTTTGGAGTTTCGGATTTAGGCTTCGGGGTTTCGTCTATCCACTCTCGCACAAGCAGGCAAGGCTCCACACATGTCCGTCCCGCCAGTCAGAACACGTAGACTGCCACCATGCCCGAGGCCAGGGGTTTCGGGGTTAGGGTTGAGGGGTTTAGGGCTTAGGGTGTTCCTCAGCTGAGTGAGCTGCATATGATAACGCATGTTTACGGGTTCTGGTCTGTTTGGTGCCCGAAAGTAGATGCACATCTCAAAATGTGTCTTTTGGAGAATCCAAGGCCTGTTTGGATCGACTAAGTATTGGCCCACTCTGTTGTCGCCAACAGGCAATGCTGAAGATTGATTTTAGCAAGCTTGCTTCTGCAAGCTCGGACTATATGAACTAAAGTTCTATCAATCCGAAAGTGTTTCTTCCCATAGGGTTTTCGTTTGGGTGTTCCAGGATGCTCAACTCATGCGCTCTGGCTTTCAGGGCTTCAAGATGTGCACCCGCGCATGGCCGAGGGGGCGGCCTTCAACCAATGCACCATTTCGGCGAAACTGCGGCCAGACTCCTGCTGCATCTGCCGTGTCACTCCGTGAATTCTCTCTCACCATCCAATGAACTTTGCAGGTCTCTAGGAGGAGGCATAAGGGGGCCCAAAGTGATTGAGTAGGGCCTTGGACAGCATCTCCGGCGACTATTGAGAGAGGTAACTATTTGCTGCTGCAGCCTCCACAAGAGCATGTTACTTGTACAAAAGGAGCATCCTGTGCTCAGCCTGTCGTGCAGAGTCTGGACCAGTGCGACTTTTCCCAAATGTGTTACCCTCCGTCCTCACCCAGCTCTCAACCGAGAACAAAGCATTTGCAAGACTTGCCCGCAAACTCCCCAGAAACAGAACACATGCCCCGGCTGTACTGCTACGAACCCGACCCTTCATAGATCGTCCGAGTCCGGCCTCCCCGCCACGTGCGGGGCGCGACGTCCGTGCTGCGCGGCTTGTGGCCGCAGCCAGGACCGCGACAGAGGCAGCTGGAGCGCAGAACTGAAGCAGCCAAAAAGTGTTCTCATATTGAGGGTTCACAAGTTTTCCTATCTTAGCAGCTTCAACCAAAGAGGCTCGTCGATTCCAAACGGGGTTGGGGAAGCCTTCCACAAGGGTGCTCGGACACCCGCGATCGGGAAGCTGTATGCAGGGGTACCCGAGTTTTGGGTTTAGAACACTGTGCTCTGAGCGATTTCGAAAAATGAAAGCTTATTATAACCACCGACCATCACTGTAACCTTAACCTAAACCCGAAGGCCGTAAACGCTCTACAACTCAGATTTCTGCTCAGCCTGGTGGGGCTTGCCCTCTGCCAAGGGCCGAGGTCGTGGCAGTGCCCCCGGCACTGCCGCAGGGGCTGCAGGATGTATGGCCTTCGGATATGGGTTGGGGAAGGGACACGTGCGGTGTCAGGGTTTCAGGTTAAAGAGGGTTGATGACATCTAGCAACCTATGTCTACGCTGTTCGGGAAAACAAAGCGCTTCGTGAAGCCTTCTGCTGGAGCACGTCCTGACCTACTTGGAGGTTCATGGATTCATGGGTAGTTATAAATGGGGTTATAATTCGGGTTACTATACTTATCGGCCATGTTAGGGGACATATAAACCCACTTATAACTACCCATGAACCTCCAAGTACACCCCCAACCCCATGCAGCTCACAAGCACTTCTTGAATGGGCGTAGTCGTGCAGTGTCTAAGGCCAATCTGTTCAGGCTTGTCAGGCTGAACCACTGATGCTGAAGGGTGTAACAACAGGAACTTAAGGTTTAATTTCGTGGTGTCAGCGTCGTAGCGGAGCGCCTTCCAGGGTCGCTGCTGCTTAGGAATCCTCGTAGGAATTGGTTTAAACCTACGGATTACAGCTCTTAAAGTGAATCCGAATATACTGGGGTCGTATAGGGCCAGGGTTTCTTAATCAGGTTCCTACATTGCGACTATTGACCCAAAGCGCGTCATTTACTTTCAACGCTTTACACGGAACCTGTTGGAATGACTGCCCTTTTCAAGCAACCAGGGCTCAAGGTTCACATGGGCCGCGTGCCCGACCGCAAATCATGACAAACCTGTTTCTATGGATCTTGAACACGATGCCGAACTACTAGGCGAGACGAGAAACAGCTTGGAGGTATCCTCTCTAAGCAACAATAGGCTGCTCACCTTGACAGCCACGCCATCCCTAACTATCCGAATATAACCAAACTGCCGAAGCCATTAGTCTGTTCATCGCCTGCGCTGCCAACTGCATGGCTCTAAAGGGGGGGGAGAGCTGACGTAGCACGTGAGGGTTTCCGGTGCTGCGGGCTCTTGGGTCATCAAGGCTCCAGCTTGGGCTGTTGCCTGAATCATTCAGATGCTCAGTATACCTCACTATAGTCCCAGATACATCGTGGATAAACATCTCCTGGAGGGTTCCATGCATGTCGTTTGATCCAACTGCGGGGACAGCCGTGGCCATGCCGTTCAGACCTCGGCCGAAGCCCCAAACAAATCCGGCCAGCTCAGACTCATGTGGCTTGCACCGCCTGAGCAACGGCAGTAAGCTGAAACTGAACCAATCGGACCCCAAAGTAGTGAAAGCCCCAAGCCCCGAAGAAAGACCCTCAACATCAGCCAAGAAACTTGGATCCAGTTCTGGTGCTGTCTCGGACAGGCCCTGCCGTCAAAACTGCAAGATTTGGTCTTGAACTGCTTCGGCCGGAATCTTAGGCCCAGCGTAAGCCCCCTTTATCTATAGACAGCGGTCGGCTGTGGGGCCTGGGTTTGGTTTTACTACCCTTCTGTATCTATAACCTCAATCAAGCCTAAGACCTGAACACCTACAACTTGGAATCCACAAGACGTTCTGAGTAGTTCAACTCTCACGATCAAACGGTGGCGACTCGACTCTCAGTGACGACGACGGCTTAGTGGTGGTAGCCGAACCACAACTGCTATACTGCCGCTATTGCTACTGGTGCTGCTACAGCTGCTGCCACTGCTACCGCTACCGCTACTGCTACCACCACGACTACTCCTCCTCCTCCCCTCCCCCTCCTTCTCCTCCCCTGCTGCGATTACAGAATCTTCGGAAGGTAAGGAGGTGGTCTGGACTACGGCAACGCCGTAACTCATCTTGCGCTACAGTGTCCAGAACTAGTTCTGTGGCACGCGGAGCCCAACGCCATGCATTAAAGCCTGCCGTTTGGAACAGGAAACTGAGCGGATAGTGACAGCCATAATCCTGTCGTCCCAAGGCATGCTACCAGCGAGTGATTCAAATTCAGCTGTAGCCGGAATGCGGTGAGCCGGGATGTTTTAAGCTCTTTTCACCCCATACTTCGTGCACAGCTCGTCTTCGAATTGTTCGCACTTCTCTACGAAATCCCGGATGGTCATGTCCGGATTCTCTGGATCCCCAAAAGCACCTTGGTCGCTGTGTGCGCTCCGGTGCTTCAGCTGTTTACTGGACCTACATACAAGCTCTCCAGACTCTGTGCGCAGATGCCATTGATCTTCCCGTTCTCTGGGTTTAGGGTTTAGGGCGCAAGCATGTTCTGGGTGTTTGCCGCGGTCGAGTACGCCATGAAACGATTTTGCAAAACCCTAAACCCTAAACCCTTTTTTGAACCCAGACTCTGCCAATCAACCCTAAACCCTAAACCCTAAAACCCTTCAAGACTCGACCTGTTGCCACAGGACTGCATGCAGGTTGCCGGCCTCAACCCTCGATGGCCCCAAAGCCAGAAGGCCCCACAACCCCAGCTAAACCCCAAACCCTGTACGCAAACCTTACAAACACTAGCCCAACCTTACATAAACCCCATATCCTATATACATACCTTTATGAACCCTGAACACCAAAACACACTAGAACCTAAGCCCACTCTAAACTTAATCACAAACCTAAATCCTGCACACAGAAACCCTGGACATCAAACTGAAAAGCCCCTAAAACCTTGTAAAACCCCTACATGCTAGACATAAGCCCTGAACCCTATAAGCATAAGCTTTGTAAAACCCTAAACCCTAAATTGGCAAGCTGTGGCTCGGCACGCTGCAGCTCTGTGACTTGTCGACGTCTCTTCAGCCGGATGATCGCCTGAAGGTGCTTGAACCCTCAAGAACGGTTTAGGGCATTGGAGGGCTTTAGGTTAGGGCACTTTTTGGCTAGGACAAGGGTCTGGGGTTTGGACTCTGGGACGCTGCAGACGAGGATGGTTCGGGGTCTCAAGACTAGCACCTATGGCTAGGTCTCAACGACAGCTTCAGGTCCCAGATCTCTCGCCTGCCATCAATTTCCCGCGCAGAAACCTGACAATATAAGGTTGGTCTAAGTGGGTTAAGCACGGGGTCGAGAGTGAAGTCGAGCTGCCGAAGAAAAAGTACGCTTTGGGGTTTCGTATGGGTTTATGTTTTCGTGTTCCCTAACCTTAAACCCTAAACCGTTAAACCCTTAAACCCTAAACACCCCCGAACGGACCTGTCCTTCGGCTTTCCTCGGCTGTCTGCCCCCACCTAGCAGACTCCAAACACCCGTAACTAGGGAATATGCCTGATGGTTTAAGTTTCGGGCTTATAGGATCCAAAACCAAGCAAACTGCTGTAATTCTACGTAGGGTGTGCAAAGGGCTATGTAGTCCCTGCGCACCTGACTCTACCTGAAAAGTCTCTCGAAGAAGCAGACAGGCTTCTCAAGTTTCGGGCAGAGGCACGCTAAGTACGTGGAGTAGTTACCCCAATCTCTACGAAAGCCCGCTTTGCTAACTTGGCTTTGACCTTGCAAACTTGTTCAAACAGAAACATCAAGCAGCACTTTCCCTGCCATAATTGCGCAGTTTGCTTCAACCTAACAAAGGGATCCTTCTCATGGTGCATTCCCTGATAAACCCTAAACCCCCTCTGGGGATTTCGAGTTTCGGGCATAGCTGAAAATCGCAATTTTCGGAAATCAGTTCGAGCGTCTCACATGGCCAGGAGGCACAGCTTGGAAAGGACTCTTTGCTTTTGAAGTAACGCTTGAAGTTAAGGGTGCCTGGTATGCAAGATCAAACCCCAAGATCTGACTCCCAAGCGCTCAAGGCCATGGAATTTGGGCTATTCAACTATTCCGCTGCCCAGCAGGCTCCACGCTACAGATCCGGGCCGTGTATTGAATTATGGGAGGACTTACTCAACCATGCCGCGTGAAAGTCGGAAGGCCCCTCATCCCGGTCCATCTGAATCTGTAGCTGTCGGGCAGATTTGCAAGTGTCAGTCTCAGCTCTTTGTATCTGGTGGCCGCGCACCATCCGTGCAGGCTGCAGCCGGTAAGGCCATCAACTGCAGGTCGCGATAGTCTAGTCTGCCTCGAAAGCTACGCCAACCCTACAACCCTAAACCCTACAAATCCACAGCCCTAAACCCGAAAGCCATTCTAACTGTTGAGACGCCTATAGTAACGGGGGATCCCCGCGGCTCCCAGTGAAAAATCGCGACCTTCCTGAATCTTCCTGCACGCATGCGTGCCGGAAGGCAAAAAACAGATGTTGCAATGAGAACAACCCCCTTTTTTTGCAACACCCGTGAGTGCTTTCAGGAGAAGGCCACAGGTGACCAGCAACCCGGCTTTGAGGGTGCAGGCAAGGATTCCTTGCAAGACATCCTCCGGCAATGAGTCTGGTAGTTTCATCTGCAGTGCTGAGTTGCACCTCAAGCCCTCAGGGTGGCACCTTGGCGCTATCTTTACATTCGCTTTCGCCAGTTTCGCCAGGGAAGTGTTGAAGAGCATGGCCTTTGTTTCTGTTTCGCGCTTAGTACCATGGAACAAACACCTAAACCCGGACCTCATCGCAAAGGCTCTGTTCTGGAACACCCCCGACCAGCGCTTGTGTGGACAGGCAGCAGCAATAGTCTGGGCCCCAAAGGCCAAAAGAGCAGAAGCCGTGCTGACGATCATGCCTAGCTCAACAGAATGAACCCTCCTGTGCAGTCCAAATTACTTTTCGGTTCACCCTTGCTAACTATCTGCAAATCGCCTTGACACGCTTGGGTTTTCGCAACAGCAAGGCATGATCTAGGGGCATTGAAATTTCATGTTTGGAGCCTGCTGCCACGACTGCTACCTGATTATTTCACGGCCTATGTTCACTATACTTCAATTCTTAACGCCCCAATACTATACGATATATTCGCTGCATGTCCCTAGATGACGGCAAGTCTTCATGATGACCAGCTTCGATTTAGCGTTTTGTGTTTAAAGTTTGCTCTAATTGCTGCTGCCCCGACCTACTGCAAGCCATAAACACCGCCGCGTCAGTTGGGCATCTTGTTCCAGCTGCGTCCAGCAACACAGATTCTGCCTCGAAAAGTCCCTCCGATGAGCACAATCTCGCTACAAGCGCACGGCGAAAGACTCGCACCTGAGAATGCGCCATGGTCCTCCTGGAGACTTCGAAATGTCATAGGCTTCTTCCGGAGACTTCAAAGTGCCACATGCTTCTTCTGGAGCTGTCGAAAGGGTTTCATCCATGCATTTCAGACACTGGCTTGGATGCAGCAGGCTCAGGATCTCCAGCTGCTTCTCCATGTCTCGCCTGCGATTCGCAACTTCGTCTTCAAGCTCCTTAGGCTTGGAGGAGACGTCGGCGAGGAAGACAAGCAGTTTCGCCAAATGCTGATCCGGGGTTCTCGGTGGCAAAGCATGAACGGGAGCTGCGGTCAGGGCCTCCTTTTCCGAACGAGCTCGAAGATTTGGGGAGGGCGTAGGAGAAGGCCTGCAAACCCTTGGCCGCACACCTCCCAAGCCGCTGCTAGATGAGGACATGGACGACGAGGAGGGCTTTGTCGCTCCCAGCTTCGATGAAGACCACGAGAGAAATTGCAGCCCCATGGGTCTCTGTCGCAATCGTCTTCCCACGAAAACAAGAAAGAACAAAATGGCAACGACCTGTTGAGAAATCAGAGACTGCGTAGATACTGCACCTAGGAGCCTTCAAAACAGATGCACATGCCAAGTCTGTCGAAACCCCTAACCAGGTGTCTGCCACAGCTCCTCTTGACCCAACATGGCCGCAGAGTTTAGGCTTGGGTTTTTAGTTTAAGTCTTGGGGTAGGTGTCACGTCTAGCGAGTCGGCAAGCTTGAAGTCTACACCCTACAAGCGAAGTTTGTGTGATAAATCTCACGTCCCGAAACCGCAGCCTCTCACTCTGAAATTTTACGTAGTTGGATTGGGTGAGCACAGGATTCCTCAGGGCTCTGGCTCTCTTAATAAATTAAAGATATTATC